ACGACGGTAGGGACGTCTCTCGCCACAAAGTCTTGACAAATGCTCCTCCTCGTCGAGTCTCTCGTCGGCGTCGTCGTGGCCCCCGAGCTCGCCGAGCACGACGCCGAAATGATGCTTTGCAGTGGAGTAGGCCTGCCCGGCGAATGAGGGCGTTGTTGTCGTGCGCGGATAGAAAATCATGCAAATAACGCACAGTGCAATTAGCAACACCAGTGCTTCGTTCCCTCCCCTTCCCGTCTGTAAGGGCACCGGTCCGCGCAGTGTGGGTTCGACGTGGTGACCTCTTCGGCCTCACCCGGGACGGCGCCGGGACGCGGCCGGGACTCGGCCGGGTCGCCAAACAGGTGTCGCCCGGGTCATCGCGGCCATCCGACGCGTCCCGACGTGGGCCGCGGCCCCGGGTCACGCCGCCGGGTCGGGCAGGGGGCGCGTACGCACGCGGCGATGACAGGCCCTCGTCGCGGCGTAGGCGTGGCCCGGCAAGCTGTCTTCGAGAACGGTTCTGGTCACTTCGCTCTGCGAAGGTAAAATTTACCTTTAACGTCGTGGGTCTGTGTCTGTGAGTTTGCTCCGGAAGGACCTAATCCAGTGCCATTTTCATTTACAGGTGAAGAGTTCGGTGGCGTTCTGGGGCGACTGGCGGTAACGAACCTACACCAATGTCGGCACACTGGTATGTGGCGCTTCCTCGAGTACGCTGCCGCTCGCAAACTCTTGAATATTCATTTTGGATTCAATTCACAGTGTGCGGGAAACCAGATAGTGGCGCGCGCCGGCGACCTTCTTTTTCGGGCGGCGTGCGGCGCGTGGAGGCGTCTGCAGCGCGTGCTGCACCGCGAGGACCAGATAAATCAAAACTCCCTTCGACAGGCCGGGCCGGGCCGGGCCGTGGGTGGAGGGCAGCCATGGCGGCACGCGGCACGGCGTCGTGATGCTGGCGGCAGATAGCCCTCCGCCCTCCGCCATCGCCCGCCATTCACCGGCAAGCCCGCCTATGCGCTGCTGGCCCCCCACGGCCCGCCTCGGCGTTCCGGCCGCTCGCCTGGCCGCCGTGGTCTAGCCCTTAATGGTAATGGTAATGGCCGGTGGGCTGGCCCGCCACGCGCCGGTGCGGGCGGGGTGCCTACCTTCCGGGCGGCCGCCTGCCGCCTGCGTGGTGGACAGACCCGCCACGCTCCGGTGCGGGTGGTTTGTCTACCCTCCGGACGCCCGCCTGGGTGGTAGGCAGGCCCGCCACGCTCCGGTGCGGGTGGTTTGCCTACCCTCCGGGCGCCCGCCTGGGTGGTAGGCAGGCCCGCCACGCTCCGGTGCGGGTGGTTTGCCTACCCTCCGGGCGCCCGCCTGGGTGGTAGGCAGGCCCGCCACGCTCCGGTGCGGGCGGGGTGCCTACCTTCCATTGCCATTACCATTAAGGGCTAGACCACACATTGATCGTATGCCATTTCGGGCGGCCACCGTGCATCCCGGTTTCCGTCGGCTGACGGCGCTGCGGGTGAGTGCGACCATGCGGGCCATCGAGACACATCTGCTGCCGAGGGAACTGCGCGCACGGTGTGCATTGCATCGCGTTTTGAGCTCCAGAGTTGCCAAATGGGACTCGAACCGAACGTGTGACCGCACCAATGGATTGCTCTTCGAACGAGGAATAATGGAAGGGGTCACACTATCTCTTCGAGTACTGTTTAGCGACTCTGGAGCTCAAAACGCGTCTGGAGTTTCGACCGTCTGCGCCGGTCTTCTGACCCACTGTGCGGTGTCGCGGAGCGAGCAGGTGCGCGAGCAGCCCGGGCGAGTCCACGACGGGCACCTCCCCGTCCGGCCGGGGTCCGCGGCGACCCTGACCTTGGAGGCCGTGGGCGGGCGGCGCAGAGGTTGGACTGGACTGACCCTGCTCTTGGCCCTGCCTCGCCCGCGACAACCTGTTTGTGCACAACGGCACGAAAGGGAAGTCACTCGGCTCGATTCGGCCGGCAGTGCAGGAGAAGGGGTGTCATTGAGCGACTCCTTCCGTCCAGAAAGAAAGGCTTCCGAGAGACATGCGGCGCAGTGAACCCGCCTCGGCCTTTGCTTTCCACCGGGCCGTTTAATTAATTCCGCGCCAATCTAGCGCGGGTGAGTTACCTCCGGCCAGGACGGCGACGACGCCGGCTCGGCCAATCAATTTGCAAATAGCAACTGGAATGCCCCGGGCGGGCGGCACGGCGGCCCGGCACGGGGAGGCACTGCTTCGCCTTGGCTTCGCCTGCTGCAGAAGTGGCTCTCGGTGCGGCGATAGCGCCGCGCCACCTAGAATAAGCAATGCTGGAATCCCGCCAGCTTCGCCAGCGTTGCCTGCTTCGCCTGCTGCAGCGCGGCCCTGCACAGTGGGCCAGAAGACCGGTGGAGGCGGCCTAAACCCTAGACGCGTTTTAAGCTCCAGAGTCACTAAATGGGACTCGAACCGAACGTGTGACCCCACCAATGGATTGCTCTCCGAACGAGGAATCCATTGGTGGGGGTCACACGTTCGGTTCGAGTCCTGATAAGCGACTCTGGAGCTAAAAACGCGTCTAGAGTTTTGGCCGCCTCCACCGGTCTTCTGGCCCACTGTGCCCTGGACGCGGCGGTGTGGACGCGCGTGCCCCGCAGTGCAGTGCTGCCCTCTGCCTGGCTCCGCTCTGCCTGCAGACTGATTCCGAGAGTCGTTTTCGTCGCTCTGTCTCTCTCGCACTTATAGGGGACGCTCCATGAGTGCGAGGGAGACAGAGCGACGAAAACGACTCTCGGAATCAGTCTGCTGGCTCAATATACTTGCAAATAAAACGGTAACGGTCGGCCCGAGAGGGTCGTAGGATCGTTAGACCGGCCGGGATGCTCCGGGCTCCGGGTTGTATGGAGAGCGGCACTGCGGCCAGGCAGCATTCCGAGAGGCAGATCCGCTCTGTCTCTCTCGCACGAATACGGAACTCCCCCTGAGTGCGAGAGAGACGGAGCGACGCGAACGACTCTCGGAATCAGTCTGCAGGCAGCCCCGCTGGAATTCCGCCCGCGACAAAGTAGTGAGGAGGGAAACCTAGCCGGGCCCCTCTGGAGCGACACTGCAGTGACTTCGTCGCTCTGTCTCTCTCGCACTCATGGGGCGTGCCGCGCGGGTGCGAGAGAGACAGCGACAGAGAAAGAAATGAAAATAATCCGCAGAGCAGCAGTCGCCCCTAATGATGATGGTCCTGGAGCACAGCGGATCCCCGATAGTCAGTCTGACCCAAGGCAACCAAGGGGGCCTGACTGACCCATTTTGGGACGGCGATGACACTGACTGTGTCTGGAAATTCCCTGCAGGCGCGGTCGGCGCGGAGCGGAGTGCCCGTCGGAGACGCCTCACAAATACGGGTCCATCGGCCACTACACCAATAGACCAGGGCGAGGCGCGAGGCGCGCGCGCTGGACCGCCAGCACCGCTCTGCTGCCAAATTACAGGATGCATGCCGGTGCGTTAGTTTGACTGCTCCGCGAAATAACAGATGGCACGCTCCGAATCGTGACTAAACAACTGTGCCTCACTCATTCCGATCCGTTGGAATGTGTATCTCTGCAGGCCTTCTTTTCCGCTCCACTTGACGGGCCGGATTGATGCCCAGAGCGCAGCGCGAGGCTGCTGCTTTGCAAACGGGCGCGCTACAGTGTCGGTGCTGAGATAGAGTTTTTTTTTTAGTTTTTTGGGGAGAACGACACGACGGCCTCCTTGCAGCCGGCAGATGAACCGAACTTCCCCTTCAGACTTTGCCAAATCCCTCGATGAGCTCTACTACACTGCAAACCCAAGTGGGACTGACGTGGGACGAATCCATGTGCCGCGCCTGTAAGCGTGTGACAAATGCTTACAACCGTGGGATCGTGGGATAGCTAGCCTCACCTAACCTAGTGCACGCCTGTCCCCGAGGGGACAACCACATTCGATGTTTGGATACACAAGATTTCTTCAGGCTAAAGATTTCATCGGATATCGCAAGATTTCACCCTTAAAATTTGCTTGTTTTTGGCCTCTTTGGGGGGCGAGATTTCAGATTGCCAGAGATTTCTAGCGCTCAAGGGACACTAGATTTCTAGAGTGGTTGCCCCCTCGCCTGCCCCACACTTGGATTTGCAGTGTGGTGCCTTGCAGTGCCTTGTACCCGGCACCTCCTCGCCGCCCCGCAGCAGCACTGATGCCGCGGTGGAATTCCCTCGCGACAGAGCAGCTCTCTCTGTCCCACCCATGCGACCAGGCGGCGGACCAGGCTCGACCAGGTCCGTGAGTGCAAGACGGTCAGGGCGACGAGAGCGATGTGCGGAATCAGTCGGTTGTTCCAGGTTGGTCCAGGCGGGCCCGGGCCCACCCCCACCTGCTCGGCACCCTCCGCCTCCGCCACGGCCACGGCGTGCACGCGTCCGTCCCCTCGTTCCGAATATAGGTTAACCGCATTCCGCCTTGGTGCTCGGCCGGCCGGCCAGCCCGGCCAGCTGGAGGAGCTGGAGCCAGGCCTGGAGGCTGCGGACCCGGCGGCAGCGCGGCAGGCTGGCACCCAGAGCCCGGCCGGCCGAACGCCGCGCTGCGTGCTGCTGACGCGGTCCTGCGACTCGACGGACCCGACCGCGGCCGTGCCGCGCAGTGCCGCGCCAAACCCGAACCGAACCGGCCGAATGGGCCCGAACCGAGCCCCAGCCCGCTGCACAAATAATAATGACGATAATAATAGTATAATGAGGGAGGCAGAGAGGCGGCCTCCATGGTGGGATCCTCAAGAGGGTGGGGACGGCGCTCCGGATCGGACGCCTTACTGAATGGGCTCGTTCCATTCAGGTGTCATCGCCAATTACTTCACACAGACCTTTCCGATATTCGATATTGATATTGTCCCCGCCCCCCCGGCAGGAAATCGATGTTCCAAAACCAGGATTTATGTAAATTTTTGAGAAATCTTGGTCAGGCTCATAATGAATTGCGGGAACTTAGGGTAAAGGCATTTATCACACTGAACAGCTTTTATGAAACATAGTTTAATGTGCAATTAAATATAATAAAAAGAAGTAATAGTTTTCATGGTTTGAAGCACAATATGCTAAGAAAATATTCTAATATTATCTTTGAAACTAAACAAAACAGCTGGCACATTCACATCAACAGTCTCATTCCCACATTGCTGACACAGGAAGTTTGAGCAATTGAAACTAACAAGATACTGACTGAAGACTGTAAGGCAATGCAAGCATTTAAATAATTGTCAACATTAGGCAGCTGAGAGAAATATGATTTTGAATCATTGTAAATGGTTCCCCTCAGTCTTAACAATAAATAAACATGAAAGGGTGTCTCCTGAAAATTGGTCATCTCTTCTGCATGCACAGTCTAAAAGCTTGTAAATGAGATTATTATGACAATCTAACACACACCTACACAAAGATCACACATACAGATGACTGCAGGTAAAATACTTAGTGGTAAAGCAAAAATAGAGAGAAATAATAAAAAGCTGCACATCCAGAACATAAAAGAGCAGTAAAAAAAACCATTCAACAGGAATGGAGGACATTCCAGACTACTGATCTGCTTCTTTAAACAAAAACAGCTGAGAGAACAAACACAAGCAGAGCTTAAGCTGATGCAGATGACAGCATGGTTGCCAGTACTAGTTTGCTGACACATTAACTGGCTAGGCTCATAATTAATAGCGTCATCTGCAGAAATGACATAAGCTACGCTTGCAGCAAAAGCGCTCATAGATCAGTCTAACTCAATGGCGCACAGGCAACAACCCCTTCTACCCATGCCCCTCGCAAGGCTCCACTAATAACAGTGAGACACAGAGGAGACAGAACAGAGCCACAGGCAGATAGGGCCACAAGGGCTTACAAATGATTGCTAGAAACGGATCCAATAATGCTGCTTAAAATATAAATCAAAAGGAAACTTATCCGAACTTATCCAATGGACGAGATAATATGTTTGTTTATGCAGCAATACGTAAAAAATAAAATGCAACATGAAATCACCATGTCCACACAATTGACCAGGTAGAGGATTTTATCTTAGACATAAATTAAGATATTTACTATTTAATAATTTATACAAACATCACAGAAGACTTAAAACACTTATCAATGTAAACACAGATACTTGAATTCCTCTAAGCTATAATACATATGGAGGGAAAAACTGATGAAGTCAAACTTTCCTTTCTCAACTAGCTATCTTGGTTAAATAGAAACAATCAAGAAGACTAAGAGAAGTCTTTACAGGCCAGTGAGATGCCAATCATTTAATTCATATGCAGTTGGCTACAAGGGTGCAATAGAGATGTGCGAAAGGTTCGGAATCGAATCGAATCGAATCGAATCGAATCAGCTTTGATTCGATTCGATTCGCTCCCGGGAAAATTGCTTAAAATCCGAACTATTCGAAAAATTCGAATCGAGGGTAATTCGCCTTCGAATCTTGTCCCTTTCCTCTCCCGTTTGAATCGCGCGCTGCACACCCGCCAGCTAGCTTCTAGACTGAAATTACCAAATACTAATATTTTTATGTGATATTACATTGTAATAAAATATAATTATTTTTTGTTCCACTAATATTTGTTTTGCACTACTGATATTGAACAACGCACTTCCTGTATTGCTCCAACAACAACGTAACGAAATCATGAAATTTTTGCTTGAGATTCGGATTCGATTCGAAAAACAGGGACAAAAATTCGATTCGATTCGATTCGAGAAAAAAGATGCAGATTCGATTCGATTCGATTCGGGGATTTTTTTTCATGATTCGATTCGATTCGAGGGGAAAAAACCTGATTCGCACATCTCTAGGGTGCAAGTCAAGCCCTGATTTGGCTTTGTGCTAGAGCACCAGTAAAAGGTTTAGCACAGAAAAAAAAAAAAAAAACAGCATCTGAGACACCAGAGACTTTCTTATGTGTTTGACACAAAAGGCTGGAATACAAGACAAATTATTTCTCTTGGAGAATGAATCACAAGATCAGTAAAAAGTAACTAATCACAAACAAAAATAAAGTAAAATGCAGTACTTCTGAACAAAACCTAAGCTGGATGGAATGTGTTAAAAATCTTCTTTGTTACAACAACATTTGTGACAGTTTGAATGAACCTAATATTTCTAACATATTTGTATGTTCCAAAGCAATCAATAATTAAAAAGACCTCCTAAACTTGGAATGTTAATTTGTCAAGTGAGTAGTTGGGGAGAGAAGCTAAATCTATTTGTACGGTAAAATAAAAGGTAAACTTTGTCACATACAACGGCCACACGAAACATAATTGTCACAGAAGGACGTTTACAGGAAGTTTAGTCTATTCAATGTTAATGGGCTGCCATGGAAGACACTGTCCACATAAATCTTAAAACAGCTAAAAGTTTACATACATGATAATTTGTCCATTGAATGTTAAGACACCTCATAATTTGAGCACAAGAACATTATTCGAGCAATTGATACACACAACTAGAATGAATGTTGAAGGATAAGTACAAACCAAAAGCAAATAAAAAGAAATTTTTTTTAAAAAAGGGTGCTTAGAGTATCTCTATTTGATGCACTGGAATGTGGTTTCAAATAGACCTAAATTTCTAGAAAGCAAAATAAATTTGACATCTTTAAAAAAAAAACTGAGGATAAACTTGGCTAAAAATAAACAATAACTAAAAACAAAGCCACCACATTTAAATAACCACTGTTAAATCACAGCCTGTATTGTATTAATATTTTTAAGAGAAAAAAATGTGTGCCTCAAAAAGCACATCTATCACATAAAATAAGACATAAAAGAAACCAGAAAGTGGTCTGCTACTTTAAATACATCCACCATGAGATTCAGCAAAAGCTTTTGATCACTGTGAAAGTTGTTCTTGACTGGACACCCTGTATAGAATATCATGACAAAGAGGGCATCTGTCTTGAACATACAACCACTTCCTAAGACAAACACCATGAAAATAATGGCTACAACGGGTAATTTTTGCTGAAAGCATTTCGGAATAACAAATGGAACAAACATCATTCAAAATTCGCAACTGTTCTGAAGTTGCTTCTGGTAGTGAATTAATTTTATTAACTGCAGTCCTCCTCTTCATGAACACCCTCCATCCGGCTTGAGCGTCACACCTATGACAAATAATACACATAAGATTTCCAGTGATTTACAACAAAACATTCATAAAGAGAGATTTACTCACCAAATATTAAAATATGCATGGATTCCCACCATGACAGCTCGCACTGCACCTCCTGCTTCAAACACCAGGACCCATGCACTATTCATGAACAGCAGAATACCAAAACTGAACTCAACCACATGACCAAAAGCTTGAATGTAGTACACGTAGTCATCTAATTTTTCCCAGAATGTGGAACGGTATGCATCTAACAGGAATAGTGAATATATCATCAGAGAAACAATGACCTTCACAATTACCTGAAAAAAAAGAAAAGAAACTTATGAGATGACAAGAGCTAAATGTGTGCCAAAAAAAAAATATAGTGAGTAATGGAGTGATCTCTAGGACAGAAGTGATTTACCACCACTCTACTCACTTCGATGCTGAAGGCTGAAACTGCCAGGAGCCAGGTGCTCAGTTCATGGTTCGACCAGAGAAAGATGAGCAGTGACACTGGGAAGACTATAATAAAGACAGCCACACCCAATGCTCTCAAATGCCTGTGCAGTGCTGGGTTATGACTTGCTGATAATGATAGAAGAAGTGGATGGACGTAATTATGCACAAAATGAATAAGTGCAGTAAAAAGTAAGCAGATGTTTCGGCTCAACAGTACTAGACGCTTGTCTGGGTCACAACTTGTCAAACCGGCCTGAAGGGCTAGGATGTAAAACAGCATTGCTGACACAGTGCCTGAAAACAAAGGAAGTATAATGACTAAAATATGATGCTCTCATTATACAATTTAAGTAACACACTGTAATTCTGTAAACAAATATACCAATTGGTTTTTCTTCGTCTTCCTCAGCCAACAGAGCCCATTGAAAGAGGCAACCCAAGTAGTAACAAAGATAGCTGACTACACTGGTCATACCTAAGACAGCTACTAGAGTGTCACACCCACCCACAAGAAGTGTCTTTGCCATCTGATACAATACATCTGATAAAGGGTTGTTCTCTGAAAAACATGGAAGATTCATGGAAGATTATTATACAGTCAAGGAGAGAAATGATTAAAGATAAAATCTTAAAAGCTTACCTCCACTGTGTAAATAATCAATGCTAAGAAAGACTGCATGTCCAAACACCCTCAGAAGCCAAAATGTAAGTAAAACACTGGGTACATTGAGTCGTGTCCATTCTGCCTCAACAAAAGTTGCCATTCCAAAGTTGGAAAGCATATTATGAACATGACAATATCCTGAGTATAGAGCTTGAGTAGCAGGTATGACATTAACCCAAATTACATATTTAACCAGCAGGAGAGGAATAACAGCACATATTAATGGAGTGCAAGAGCCAATGTGAACCTGTGATGCAAAAAAAACAAAAAATTAATTAATGAACAAAACTTGGGAAGTTAAAAAAAAAAGGAAAGTACTTATACTTACAGGCAGTGGGGAGAGGGTAAATATTATTGGGGCTGAAAACATCAATGGCAACAGGAAGGGTGGTCGTGGCCCTTCATATACTGTTGAGAAAAGAACAGCAAGTGAAGCCTGGAGAAATGGATACCAATACAGAGCAGTTTGTCCATAAAATTTGACAAGGCCATAAGATCGCAAATTCAAGAAATCAATATCTTCATTGTTCTTCCACTGTAAATCAGAAAAATAACGTCTTTAGAATGACACTAATGCAAAAATACAGAAGACAAAAAATTAAAAAGGAGGCTTTGACCTTTGCTTCTTACCTCTGTATCAGTTCTGCGACCAAGAACTGACTCAACATAATTGACATTTGCCCAATAAGAAGCAAAGATGATAAGAACTGATAATAAATGTCTATAAACTTTCACGAGGTTTTTTGTCCATAATACAAATGTACACAAAGCAATTATACAGCCTGTAACAGAAATAAAAATGATAAGACGAACAGGGTTACTATCTGACGTTACAATTTTAGTTTTATCAGATGTTTCATGAGGTTAGGTAGGTCATGAGAATAACTAGATCTAGAGTCCGCAAACTATGCTTATTTCCAAAAAAAAATTAAAAAATAAGCTAACAAGAACTTAACTGTAAAGTGTTTAGATAGGGATACTGGGATATCTACCTTAGGATCAAAACACAGAAATGTGCACTTACCTAAAGATCCACACACAAATTTCACAAAAGCCATAAATACAACAGAATAGTCAAGAATAGCCTTGTTTTCTGTTTCTTCTGCAACGTCAAGTGACATCTCTATGGAAGGTGAGGAACCCATGCTTTTCAAAATTTCGTCAATGACAAGTAAGGGTGGGACACGTAAAACCACTTTGAAACATTTCAGAACTTCGTGAACATAATGCATGACTTTGCAGCGTGGGGACAGTTCTTCAACTTCAGCCATCGTATATGCAGGGCACTCCAAATTTATTTAGCGTGTTTTCTTTTTTCACATGTATTAAATGCTGAGGTCGAATGTGATTGTTGTCAACATAACCGATACGTCATCCTACCCTCCTGAAGTCAGGGATACGACCTAGGCAACATGCACTTTACAGACGTCAACCTGATACTTTCAAGAACGGCTAATTTGACAAGTGGTTCCAAACTAAGACGAAATGAATCAGTTCGTATAAATACGAGTTTGTTATCAACAACAATCCATAACTGCACCTTCACCAAACACGCCGCCCTCCAAGAGCATGAATGACTGGAACTGATTCGGTTTACAAGGCAGTGTTCCCTGAGCGACCAAATTCTCATAACAGTTTGTTTTCCATATTTTCATCACTTGTGACGTGACAAACTGGACAAACAATCTGAAAATCCAGATTCAATTTTTCCGCATCTGAGATAAATATACATGGCTCTATTATCTCTGCTGTCTCCCATGGATTCTTTCATCATAGACAATGCCCTAGCCTCACCCCTCAATTTTAGCCTCAGGGCTCACTGAATACCAATCCCAATGAAAAACAAGCAACAAGTTAAGGAGGATTGTACGTCCACTCATTCTCATTGCAGTTGCGTTTACTTTGCTTAACGGACGTGCGCTCACTTGTTACTTGTGAGCTTTAAATTTTCTAGTGAAACCAGACTGCCTTCATTGATAAATATTTGCGCCACAACAGCACATTCACCCGTATCGTCTTGCTTACAGGTTTTCACCCGTATCTTCTTGCTCACAGGTTGGTTTAAGATCACTGTTCTAATTCTAAGGAACAACTCTTCCGTTGCCGATTTAGGCTGTCTAGTTTTGCGTATGCGCCTGGCAGCAATCCAATGTCTGTTCCGCGTTATTTTGTTCGGATTTAATGGCTTATTCCCACATTTTTCAATGATTGGTTGACGTTTAATTCACTTTTACTTTAATTTAACTGCGTCGTCTTAAAGTGATATACTTTTCACACTCTTACTTTTAGGTTATGAAGTTTGGGTCTTCCCCCTGTGAAATGTGTTATCATACTTTCCTCTACCTCAAACCACCCCATTTTTCTCATTAGAATCATTTAATCAGTTAAATGATGACATCCTTTGTGACATACGTTTTATTTGTTGGTGTCCCTGGAGGTTGTGCATCTCCGTCTTACAATGCAGCAGCATGCTCTGGCCCAAGGACTTCAGTATAAGTTATGAATTTGGGTTATTACTGAATCATCTGAACTCCTTCTTTTAGATTTGATGTTGAAGTCTCCTTGAGGATTTCTTGTGTTGTAAATGAATCACAGCATTCCATTTTAGTGTGAAAGTATGCAAAGTTAAACTTTGCTTGGGAGTATGGCAACAAATGTTGAGAGACCCTTGAATAGGAAAAAAATGCATCTTCTCGTCATTATTTTGACATAATGTAGCCAATTGTCTTTGAACTTCATTTGCATTACTATTTTTCGCCACTTATCTGTGTTCTTACTCTGCTTTTAGGTTGAAAAGAAAAGAGAGAAAGAGATACTTGACTGACGGTGCTCCGAGGTCAGGTTGTTCTAGCACCATGCCACCAAAAAAGAAGAAGGAACCCAAAAACGCATATTACTTCTACATGCAGGATTGGAGAAAGTGGAGAGCAGCAGAGGGGCAGCGTTTCAGTTTGCCTGAAGCTGCGCAATTCTGTAACGATGACTGGAAGGTTAGTAGTGTCTAAAGAGCTTTATCCATGTAGAATAAAGTGGATGTTTATATGTGTTATGGGTAAGGTCCGACCTTGGGTAATGTCTGACAGATTTGACATTATCCATGGGCCATGGGTAGAGTCTAACGCGTCGCACATTACCCGGGTAGTGTCCAGCGAATTTGGGGGAGGTCTGACATTACCCAAAGGGCGCTGAGTATGTCGACATTACCCGGCGAGAGGTCTGAAGCGGCTGGAGGAGTTAAACAACATTTTTATCCTATTATTCAGTGATTTCAAAATCATTTCTTTTGTGGCATGAATTGCTGTTGTGGCACTTGGAGGAACACAGTTTCCCAGCCTTTCTGCAGCCCCAGCAATTTGTCTTGCATTTTGTGGTGCACAAGCAATGCTAATTTCCCTGGCCACCAAGATTGGCCCCAGCGGCACCGAGGACGCGCAGTCTTTTCTCCTTTATGCGCGGCGCGCACGATGTAGAGGCGCTCGTTTCGCGCGCCTGTCTCTTTAGCCCTTCATCTCCACTCGTCTCAGCTGCATCGGCTGTAGCTTGTCGCAAGTGTGCAATGACAGCCAGTGGCGTAGGAAGCACCGGTTCAGAGGGTCAGCGCCCCCCCCCCCCCCATCATCATCAGCGCTGCTAGGCCTATGCAGACCCCCCCCCCCCCAAAAAAAAAAAAAAAAAAAAAAAGGCGCGCCTGGACAGCTTGTGCAAGTGTTGCCGGTTGCCGAGGCAACGCAAACCCCTCCCGCCAACAATCGCCACTTG